TGCCATCAGATATCACAGAAAGCCACCCTTTGATAAGGATACTTCCGTATTTTCAAGTGCAAACATTCGGCCCAGTTTATCAAGAATCGAATGAGTACGGCTCTTGAGCACAAGTCAGACGTTTAGGAATGATATCGACCAAACTAGCAATAAATTATATGGTCGTAGTCGGTAGTTACTGACTGCCTAACAGTGCCGTATTGTACTCCGTCGGGCCCATTGTGTTTCTCCTGCGTTAACACAAAATGTAGTGAATCGGCAATCAGGTAAAATGAGTGATGCAACTACTAATTACTTCAGGCATATACTCCGATCATCCCGGAGTTTTCGTAGATTATGAAAGGTGAACTATAAAAGTGCACAAAGAACTCAGCAAGCGTACCCCATGCGTATGCTCTCATGGAAGTGATATTATCGGAACTATCCCGCTTACAAAATTTGCTTATTTATTTTGGATTCTGGCCAATTACTTTCGCCGCAATGGCCTATCGATTAGTATTAATTTTATACACTGCAGTCTTGGAGAAATCCGTTTAACTTATATGAAACTCTCAACTTAGATATATGCCTTAACTCAGTTTCTCCTAGAACACTTGCAGAGATGTCCTGGTTCATAGCTTTTTGAAGTTATTCGTGCCCAAGATTTAACTGTCATCCTATGTTTTGATAGCTGCAGTTTAGTTTTCATTTGGTACTTTCGTGATCGCCACCTGTCTTATTACTGCTGACAACCCATTCCTTTGCAGTACGCTTTTGGTAAAATCTCAATTCATAATCACATTCCGAATAGCCTATGCGAATATCATGTGACCTCCGGAGCTTCTGCTTCAAGGTTCAGCGAACAAAGGCCTTGACTGAGAGCTCTGCGCACGTGCAGTTATTCATAAAATTCTTCTTTATTTTTTTTTCACTGAGCGATTGCAGTGAAAACTCAGCTGACGCTGCCTCATTTTCACTCCTTGAGTCAATGCCTCGCTTATATGCCGTGCGCGAGCGCGCTGCCTTTTTTTACACACTGGTTTGACGTCTTCGGTTTAGGTACGGTCCTAATTGACAGACAACTTATGCACTCCTGCCCAGTTAGACTGAAGTTTTTGAT